GCGAAAACACTCCGCAGACGGTCTTTCCCCAAGCTCGCCCTCAAGGGTCGCTGGCAGAAGCCAGGATCCCGGGGACAGGGGAACGCCGGAAACCAGTAGGGTCGGGGCGCCCTACTGGGGAAGAACTAGGGCTTCCTGAAGGGTGCGCGGGTGGCGCGTACCACGGGGATTTAGCCCCTGAGTGTCTTCGCACTCTCTAATCGGCGAAGAGCAGCGGCGGTTGCTCGTAGTACACGGATGTGTACGGGGATACGATCACCCCTTTAGAATCTTGATCGATTCTGGGGCGTCGAAGAATTTCGCACGCTGCCAGGCGGTTGCTCGTAATAGCAACAAGTTGACCGGTGCTTTGAAAGAAAGCAAGGGCAACGGGACGGTGTCAGTGCGACTGGCCGACGGGAAGGTCGTCACTGTCCCCAACGTCCAAGTGGATCTGGCCGTCAAGTTTGAGGACTCTAACAGCCTCGAACAGTTCACTGTTCTCGACATGGATCCCTACGATATGATCCTGGGCATGCCCCCTGGCTTGAGGAGCACGAGCCCTGGATCGATTGGCGAGGCAAGGCAAGGCAATTGGTGCTAGTCGCCCTGCGAAGTCCGACAGAGCATTGGTGAGTCATGCTCCCACCTCCGTCAGGACCCAGGGCGCCCGTAAGGGTTGCCAGAGTACCAAAGCATCCAGCAGCTACTTGGGAGTCGTCGACGTATATGACGACTCCGAGGATACTTTGATGGTGGCGGCGCCCCGAGGAGGCGATGGCCAAGTGGGAAACTTAGGTCCACAAGCGGGTAACTTAGTTCCGCAGACAGCTGCAGCTGTCACAAACACTGGTAATAGCGTGTTCAAGGTGGGTAACAGAGTTCCACACACGGTCGCCCAGACCTTAACTGATAGGGAAGACGTCGGATACGCTTCCTGTGTGGGTAACACAGTACCACACGAGGCCACGAGTGCCTCGGATGTCGGCGCTCCGACATCCCCAGACGTGGGTAACAAAGCTCCACGTCACGGTTGCCGCCGTCAAAATACGGGTCTGAACTTCGTTCAGATCGACGTCGCTTCTAGCGACTCGGAGTCCAGGGCCCGGGCTTCTCTGACAAGGCCGGTGGAAGAGTGTTATCACATCTTCGATGGCGAGACCGGTTTACCCGTCAAGGAATCTGGTGTCCACTTGGAACCGTTGCCTGAGGTTGCAGAGATACTGAACCTCGAGGAAATGACGGTCGAGTCTTTCCTGGTCAACCTCAAGGCTGGAAAGGTTGCCGAGATGGTACTCATAAGACCTGAGACCACTCGGGAGGAGCCAAACGCCTCATCTGTCTTGGACGAGGACGTCCTGGAAGACTTGAACAAGCAGCATCAGGCGTGCTTGGGTTACGAAATCCTAAAGAACCCCAAGGATCCGGTGTATCCTTTGGTGACGGAGTATGCGGACGTGATGAACAAACACCCACCGACCCAACTCCCACCAGATCGAGGCGTACGGCATTCCTGTGTACTGTGTCACGAGGCAATGACCTCTTCCGCGCAAACAGTGCGAGGTCATTGATGCCTTCTTCGCTGCGAAAGCGAAGGAAGGCATGGTGCGGGAGTCGAAGTCCCCGCACCCGACGCCAATATTCTGCGTTGGGAAGCCGAACGGAAAGTGGCGACTAGTTCATGCTTATAACAAGCTGAACAACGCGACGGTACCGGTCCAAACACTAATCCCACAAAAGGATATGTTGTTACACAACATGACCGGAGGCGTACTGCATAGTGCGCTGGATTCGGTAGACGGATACTACTAGATCCTGATGCGAGAGAGCGACATCCCGCTCACCACGGTGAGCACTCCAAGCGGCATGCTTTAGGAGTGGCTCGTCATGCCGCAGGGTCTGTCTAACGCCCCGGCAACGTTCAGCCGCCTGGTGACGCAATTGTTCCGGCCATTATGTGCCTTCGTACAGACGTACTTCGACGACATATTCGTCCATAGCCGTGCCAGGGGGGGGGGGGGGGGCAATACGGCCATGGAGGTGCATCTGAGGCACCTCCGTCGAGTGTTGGACGTGATGCGAGCGAACAAGCGCTACGCCAACATCGACAAGTGCGGCTTCGCGTCAACCAGAGACTACTGTTATATGTTGCTTCGTAAGCAACGTGGGCGTTCGGACCAACCCAGACAAGGTCATAGCCATAGTAGCATGGCCAACGCCCCGATCCCAGAAGGATCTTCGAAAGTGGTTGGGCTTGGCCAACTACAAGTACAGCGCAGGGTACGCGGGCTTCGCTAAGCCCTTGTCGGGCCTCCTTCAGAACGATGTTGACTGGCGCTGGGAGCAAGAGCACCAGGATGCCTCTCACAGCATCAAGGCCAGTCTCCAAGAGGCCCCTGTCCTGGCCCTGCCGGACGAGACGAAGAAGTTTAGCGTCGTCTGCGATGCCTCCGATTACGCCATCGGGTGTGAATTGCTGCAGGCCGACACGGCTGGAAACGAACGAGTCATCTCGTTCCAGTCCAGGCAGCTCAAAGCCGCCGAACGGAACTACCCTGTCCACGACAAGGATCTCCTGGCAATGAAGTATGCCCTTGTGAGGTTTCGTGTTCACCTTCTGGGCTCCCGGCCCTTCGTGATCTACACAGACCACGCGTCCTTGAGGACGGCGACAGATTCGCCTCACCCCTACCGAAGGATGGCGAGGTTGCTGTCCTTCTTCACGGAGTACAACTTCCGCGTCGAGTACAAGCCGGGCAAGCTCAACGTGCTTGCGGACGCCCTCTCTCGGAGTCCTGACAACGAGTTGGATCACAGCACACGGGTGACAACGGATCTATATGATCGGATTCGCATGGCGTATTGGGACGATGAGGCTGTCGCGCCTATCGTCAAGTTCCTCACGGCAGGAACGAGCGCGACCGACTAGCTCTCGTCGTGACAACGCTCACGGCTCCACCGATATGAGTTGAAGGATGGCCTCCTCTATTACCGGGTGGAGCCCAATGAACCCCCAGGGGTGGTCGTACCCATCGACGAGGATCTGAAGTTCGATATCCTCGCGGAGGCGCACGACGCTCCCTCCAACGGCCACTTAGGCCGCGAGAAGACCTTTCTGTCGGTTTCGCAGGCCTCTGGTGGACCCACATGTACAAGTGGGTCGCCCGATATGTGAAGACATGTGAAACATGTCAGCGGGTCAAACCCGCAGGGCACGCTTCGGCTCCACTACAGAGCCTGCCCGTACCGACTGACTGTTGGAACTTGTTAAGTCTTGACTTTATCTTTGGGCTTCCCGCCGACGGACACGGCAACACCGGCATTTTGGTGCTCGTGTGTCGGCTGAGCAAGATGTACCATCTTGCTCCGGTTCCCGTCACTGTTACAGGCGAACAAACCAAAAGGTTGTTCGTCGATGGCGTATTCCGCTATCACGGCCTCCAGGAGACGATTGGCTCGGACCGAGACCCTCAGTTCACTGCTGCATTTGGAAAACGCTGTTTCCTTTACTGGGAACTCGTCTGCAGATGTCCACTGCGGACCATCCACAGACACATGGCCAGACAGAGCGCGTCAATCGAAGCTCAAGGACACTCTGCGCAGTGTGTGTGCGGAAGCACCACATACGTGGTCGACGCAGCTTCCAGTTGCTGCGTTTGCGCTCAACAACGCGGTGCACGTGTTCACGAGGTTCACGCCGTTCTACTTATCCGGCTTGCGTCACCCCAGCGTGCCTCTCACCCTTTGAGGAGACACTGACTCCTCTATTATAAGTGGGGGGAGGCTCGGAAAGCCCTTTCCTCCCAGGTCTCGGATGTGAGACCAGTTTCGTTGCGGGAAAAAGTGGAATCCTTTGTGGATACCAAGCTGAGCGTTGTCAGCAGGGTCCGCGATGCTATGGCGGCGGTCCAGGATAGCCAAAAGGAGTACTCGGACTGCAGCGGGGCTGCCGTAGCTTCAGCATCAGAGGAAGACGTTCGACTCAAAGAGTCACTAATACTAAGTTCCTTATCCAAAGGACACTTACAGCCCAAGACCAGGGCTCAAAGTTAATACCATAGCATTATGCTTCAAAAACCAGAAGTGTTTTATTTACTATTATTGCGGCCAAGCCGCCTAGGGGAAAATGTAGCTGTTTTACTATCTAGCAAAGTTAAACCTAATCAAATGCATAACGTGTGGCTTTCAGCCAACGTACTGAGAGACCTTGTTAACTCTACAGCTTATGTACTGAGAGTTTGTTAACTCTCCGGTACTTCGTACCCCTGTGTGTTCCACACCATGTAACCCCGTTACACTCTCCCCGACTAAGATGAGAACATTCCGTTCTCGAAACTTTCCTCAGCGAGGTCAGGTCTTGTTAAGACGGCGGAGGTTACTACACCTCACACCAGCGTTGTATAGCTCCGTGAGCTCACAAACGCCTACGCATCGTTGATGCCCAACTTCTCGTCGTCGGCCCACGGCCCAATGTTCCAAGCGCAGCGCACATCTTGCTCTCAAGCGGTCTCAGACCTACGCTCGCGCTCCACGCCTACTCCAAGAGTTGCAAACCGCTTAGATCTATTATCTTGACTCATCCGAGTCGTCGACAACGCCTACTCCAAGAGCTGCAAACCGCTTAGAGCAATGCTCTTGACTCATTCGAGTCGTCGACAACAGCTCAGCGGTTGACCACTCGCTCCACAAGCGATAGGTCGGTGGTTCGATCCCACCAGGGCGTCGCCCTCTCGTTCCATGGACGATTGTCCACGCTTGGACAAGCTTAAGGGCAACACCCTTTTAGCTCAATGGTTGAGCGTTGGCTTTGGAAACCACAGGTCGGTGGCTCGAGCCCACCAGGGCACAGCCCTCTCGTTCCATGAACTGTTGTCCTTGAATGGACAAGCTTCAGGGCAACACCCTTTCAGCTCAGTGGTCGAGTGTTGGTTTTGGAAGCCACAGGTCGGTGGTTCAAATCCACCCGAGCGCAGCCCTCTCATACCATGAGTAGTCCGTTCTCGGACTGACGTACGGACATCGCCCTTATAGCTTAATGGTAGAGCCTTGGCCTGGAAGGCCAAAGGCCAGTGGATCGATCCCCGTCCGGGACACCACTTTCGCTGTTACAGCGCATCCACATTTGGATCATGCTCATCGAGCAAGTTGTTTCAAAACAACTATGCGTCTATCGAGACGCTTGTGCCTGAACCTTGTTCAGCACAACACGTAACCCCTGCTTCGTTCGGGACCATGTCCCTAACATCACGAGGTCTCTCCACCTCCTGCTCCCGCTGCGAGCACCGCTCATACGTACGAGCTGGCTGCTGCAGCCACTGGTCAGAGCCTGACCTCAACTACTGACCTGATCGCTCCCCACTCTAGTGGGAGGTGCCCAGCGCCTGGCGACGCTGTCGCACGCCATGGTGGCGCTTTGGCACATGATGTGCCCGGGCGTAAGCGACAACGACGTCAGGGCAATTTTGCTGGAGGATAACCTCAAACACCCATGATTTCTGTGAGTGAGGGTAACTCCTCCACTTCACCAAGTACTGGGTACGACCCTGGCGTCTACGCCGCGCCACAAGGCGTTCCACGTGAAAGTGGAGCTCACCATGCTCATCGAGCAGAGCGGGAGGAGGCCCTTTTTCGAGCTGGGCTCTCGCGGGGAGAGTCAGCACTTGCCGGAACGGCGTCTGCGTTCATACGACGCCGGCGTCCACGACACGAACGTTCACGTTCACCGCCCATTGGTGGATCTCGAAGAGATGATCCACCTTGTCGATAAGCTAGAGCCACCACTGTTGACTCACAACCAGGTCTCGGACCTTAAGCGTCCAGTCGCTCGGCTAAACATTCAGCTTGCCTTGCTCCTGCATCTCGAGCACTTCGCTCCGCGACCTGTGGCTCTGTCACATGCTGTTGATCAGCCATCTGTGGATCCACCACTTGCTGTCGTTCAGCCTCCCGTGGCTCTACCACCTGCTACCCTGCAGCTGTCCGTGGCCCAGCCACCGTTGGTGCCAACGCCTCCGCGCCCACCTGAGCAGGGGCTTGGTATGGCTTAAGCAAGCCAACATAGAAGACCGGATGCGTGCGCATCTTCTTCGGAAGGTTGAGCGTATACGCTAGGCCTTTCCTGGCCACGACCTTGAACGGTACTATGAACCGAGGTCTTAACTTCGTCTTGAAGACTGCAGACACTGCATGAGTAGGTAAGTTTTTAGCGTTTAATAAAACTTGGCCACCGACCTCAAACCGCTCAACATTGCTTCTGCCCTTGGCATCTGCATGTTCCTTCTGCGTGTCTTGGCTTTCAGCCATAGCGTCGCGTACTTGACGCATTACGCTCAGTCGCAAAGAGACAAAGTCATCGACTTGCTTGCGAACCGCAACAGGGCTGACATCAGCTAGCCGCTCGGCTATCCCTCCCCCATCAAGCCCTGAGCCACTGCGTGGCGGCGTCAGTGGAACGCGAGGGTTAACCAAGCCGTTCACATAGAACGGAGTGTAGCCTGTCGAGGCGTGCACTGCATTATTTAATGCGAACTCAACGAGTGGGAGCATCTGGCTCCAGCGTTTTGGCGCCTCTGCGCATACGCTTCGGCGGATATCCTCCACAACACGATTCACGCGTGCGGTTTGACCGTCGGTCTGTGGATGGTCCGCTGTGAACATGTCCAAACGAGTGCCGAGCACTCTGAAGAGGGACGTCTAGAACTTCGCGGTAAAGCGCGGGTCTCGATCGGAGACAATCGCCTCAGGCAAGCCATGCGGGCGAAAGACTCGGTCTAAAAGCACCAAAGCTGTACCTTTACCATCCATGGTGTCCGGCACCGCCGCTAAATGAGCCATCTTGCTCAATCGGTCTACAAATACCACAATACCCGTTTTCCGCCGTATCCTTGGGAAGGCCAAACACAAAGTCCATACTCATGGACTGCCAACATCCCTTGGGGACAGGCAAACCCGCCAATGGCGCTGCCATGCTCGACGCGGACTTTGTCCATTGACACGTCTCACAGATGCGTACATAGGTGCCAACCCACTTATACATCTTGGGCCACCAGTACATCGAGCTCACCGAGCCATAGTCCTTTTCCGACCTAAGTGTCCACCCACGGGCGTATCATGAACCTCATAGAGGATTCGATACTTTAGATCCTCATCATGAGAAACAACTACTAGAGGGTTATCCTCAGCGTCGGTGCTCTAGTACAGCAGGCCGTCATCGAGCGAGTATCGATGCAGCCTCGCGCGTAAGCGCCCAGACGATTCCTTGTATGAATCTTTAAACGCTTCGCTCCCAAGAGCCCGTAGCAGCGCTACGCACATGTCGTCCTGTGATTACGCTCTGCGTACCAAGTCAGGCACTGACGACGTCACTGTCGTGACATGAGCTAACTCGTAGTCCGGCCTGCGCGAGAGCGCATCGGCCGCCCCGGTGTGTACTTCACCTCAAAGTTATACTCGGCAAAGAAGGAAGCCATCTTGCCATTCTCTGAGAGAGATGAGGCGCCTGTGTCGCTGTGCGTAGCGACGCAGGATCAGTAAAGATCACAAAAGGCTTAGAGCGTAGCAGGTGTACCCTGAATTTGACTAGAGCGTACTTCATTGCAAGTAGCTCTTTGTTAGGAACTGGATGGTTCTTCTCTGCAGCTTTGAGCTGGCGAGACTCAAACGCAATCACGCGTTCACGCCCTTCGGCATCTGCTTGTAGTAAAGCACAGTCGATTGCAAAATCAGAGGCGTCACAGACGACGCTAAACGGGCTATCCGTGTCCGGTAGCGCAAGGATCGGAGCCTGGAGGAGGGTCCCCTTCACAGCCTCAAAGGCTCCGTCGTGCTCGACGTTCCAGCACCATCCTGCGTCCCTCTTAAGGAGATCTGATAATGGCCGATCCATCTCCGCGTAGTTCGCGCTGTACTTGTGCAAGTAATTGGCTAAGCCTAGCCACTTGCGTAAGTCTTTTTGGTTCTTGGAAACCGGCCAGTCCACGATGGCATTGACTTTGGCAGGATCTACCCTGAAGCCTCGCTTTCCAATGAAGCACCCGAGGAAAGGTATTTCCTCCGCGCCAAAGACGCACTTGTCCAAGTTGGCATACAACTTATTAGTGCGCATGCACCGCTCGCAAGTGGTCAATGTGGTTCTTCACGTCTGACTTTCCGTGCTCAGCACGACTATGGACGAATATATCGGCAAAGTACGTTTGAGCGTACGCCCGGTGGAGCCTAAACAACTGCGTCACTAGACGATTGAACGTTGCTGGTGCGTTCGCCAGCCCCTGGGGCATGACCAACCACTCCCAGAGCATACCGCGCGGAGTACTCACCGCTGTCAGCGGAATGTCGCTCGCTCTCATGAGCAATTGGTAGTAACCATCGACCAAGTCGAGCGCGCTGTAAAACGTACAGCCTACATTGTTGTTCTGCAGAAAATGCTTGCAAGGAATCGGCGTTTGCGCCGGGATAGTGGCCGCATTTAGCTTGTTAAAAACATGAACAATGCGCCACTTGCCGTTCGGCTTTCTGACACAGAACTTGGGTGTCGAGTGCGGAGACTTACTCGCACGCACCATCCCTGCCGCGTGCTTCGCACGGAAGAATGCATCAATGACGTCACCCTGCTTTCTCGACAAAGGCCATTGCCTTGTCACGCAGTATTTGGTTCTAGGAACCAGGTCAATCTTATGACACACGCCTCGATCCGGAGGCAGGTCCATCGGTGGGTCTTTCGAGACAACGTCTCCATACTCCTTCACCACAGGATGGAAGGGATCGAAGGATTTTTGAGGATCGCCGATCCACTTCTTGCGCTCAGCGCCTTCTTGGTGTCCTTAAGGACCGCGTCGTCCACGACGGATGAGGATTTAAACTCCTCCTCAGGTCCCAGCAGGACCACCTCGGCTAGCTCGCCTGCCTTTAAGGCTTCGCCAAACTCGGCAATGGACATCTCGTCCAGCTCTAGCAGAGCGTCTGCAGCGGGCAGAGTGTCAAGGCTGATGTCGCCTTCGACCTCACCCGTCACTCCGTTCACGAGTGTGTACAGCTGCTCACAGTAATCACGTGGAGCCTCACCGCTCGCCACATTGGACACCTCGTTCGACGTCGAAGACGTCACAGACGCCCTGCGTCTTCTTCTCCTCTCCCTCCGCGACCGAGCCCGGCCGGATGAGGGCGGTGTGGCGACATCTCCGTCACCACCACCGGGTGCAGCAGCACCATCACTCCTCGAAGAGGATACAGTGTCTCGCAAGACACTCGGCTGAAAGCCAAGAGGTTCTTGACCTTCACACAGTGAACTAGGTGTCACTTCACCTGCATCTCCTGGGCCACGCCCATGATGCCTCGACTCGCAGTCGACCGCGACCCTCGGGTCACGCAGCGGTAGGTCATCATCCAGATTCGTACCACTCAATGGATTACGCGCCACTCCGCGCTCGTCCTCACCAGGACCCAGCAGTTGGTCATTGACCTGACCAGCACCTCTCAGCGGATAACGTGCCGCGCCACGTACGCCCTTAGGGCAAACAGCAATACCTCGTTGCTAACAATTTCGGACATACCGATGTTCAGCACTACGGCCGCCTCGGCCTCGTGCTCGCGCCAAAAGCGCTTCTGCTTACTAGCAGAGGTGGGTTTATGACTCACCAAAGATCCACTAGGAGCAGGGTGCGACGCGCCTAGCGTTTTCGACTTCCAGTCGATCCATGGCTCATGGCGTTCCAGCCATGTCATACTAAGGATGAGGTCATACCTCGCTTCCAGGTCTAAGACCAAACAACGTTTCACGCTATCGAAGTTCTCAAACGTCACTCCAAGGTCGACAGAGGCCTTCGGCACAGTTACCAGTGTCCCCGTCGCGAGACGGATAGAGATCGTATCTCTCGTTGGCACTTCCACTGCTTCAGCAGACAGCTGACTCCCTTCCAGGGTGTAGCGACGGGCGTAGTTGCCCGAGCCTCCCGAGTAAATCAAGACTCTCCATGGCTTTGCAAAGCTCATCACGTTCGCTTGAACGACCAGCAAGCCCGGCTTGCACACACTCTTCTCGTAAGAGAGCTCAGCTCTCTTCGGGGCTGAGCCCCGTTGCCCTCTACCTCTTCGAGGC